CTTTCAAAAAAATGTGTCTTACTGTCTTACTGTCTTAATCAAGAGATCCACTAGGGAATTTAGACCCAATGATCCTTCAAAAGACACATTTTTTAATGTGTCTTGTTAACGAATCCACTAGGGATACCGACCCCGCGAGTGCCCGACCAAGACGCATTCTCTACGAACTGCCACGTCAGCGTCCCGAAGTTCGTGCCATTTTACTCTGGACAGACTGTATTCATGCCAGGATCGGAGATGGTTCTCGGCAGGATGCTCTCGCTCTCGATGAAGTCCATCGGGGTGGGGGCGCTGGACATACGGACGCGCGTCCGCAGACTGCGGGACCTGGCGGTTTCGGAAGGGAGCCTCACCGAGGAGATGGTCGGCCTCGTTCGCTTTCTCGTGCAAGCGGAACTGCTGTTCGAGATGTCCGCCTGCGGGGACGTTCCTTTCAGGGCGGCATTCGTGGTGGATCTCGCGACTAGGCTCGACACCAAGGAATCGACTGTCGAGAAGCTTTTGCGGGCGAACTCCCGAGAGGCGCGCGTCTGCGTCTCTTGCCCGACCTATCTATTGCTGACGTTCAGGGCCCCCGAGACGATGCTATCGATCGGATACGCACTGGAAGAGCTTCCGTCGCTGGGGTGACCAGAAATCACACAAACCCACAAACCATTCTTTTCTTGAGTGAAGGAAACGAACGTTCATGCAGTTTGTTACCACATCATCCACTCCAACCATAGTAAACACCACCGGCGGGGTCAGTTGCCGCTATGTGAAGTTCATAAGGAAAGCCAACTCGGGCTCCAGTGGCACGGACGATGACTGGATCATCAACCTCGGCGAGGTCGAAGTATATGATGGGAACGGAAAGAACATCGCTCTAGGTGCGTCCGCTTCAACGAGCAGCTTGTGGCCGGGGTTCATAGCGGCGAATGCGAACAACAACAATCCGCAAGACATAGTTCACACTGCGACCGATGACAAGTCTCCTTGGGTCCAAATCGATCTCGGCCACGCGCAGACCGTGTACGCAGTCCGCATCATCAACCGCCAGGACTGCTGCTGGACACGTGCCATAGGATGCTACCTCGGGCTCTTTAACGAGCATTGGACGCCTGTGTACACGTCCGATCAGATCAGCCAGTCCGGGGTGGCCTACGTTTTCGCGCCTCCTTCCGTAACTCCAGTTGCAGGAGCCACTGGGAACACGATCTCCACCATCGTACCCATATCCGTGCAATGGCCTGGCACGGGATCTTGTAGCGTGTCGTGCGGAGGTGGGACGCGATTCAACGGTGCAATTTGTCTCCCAGGCCAAGGAGGTGGGGCTTGCCCCGTGCCCCTGACCAGCCCGTGCAACGTGCAGGCTTGCGCAGTTCCCTCAGTCATGACATTGCCTTCTAGCGCGGATGCGCTTACTAGCACGACCGATACTGCGACCATGTTCAAGCCCAGCACTCTATTCTTGTTCGAATTTTCGAGAACGGTGGTGATAATGATCGGTGCAGCAATCGGAAGCTTTCTCGTCCTTTGCATCATCCTCGTGTTCGTGATCCGTGGAAGACATGAAAGTGGGCCGTCAAAGATCAGAGCCGCCGCTGGCTTGCACGGTGAGCCGCGCGGCATCTGAGAAGGCGAGTGCTATATCAGCGTCACCCACGACGCGGCGAGCAGAGTCTCGGCACGCCGAAAAAAACATCCGTCTCTTGAAAGCGTCTCATGGGACCATGCTTCTCGCGCACAGACGCCGAGGCCGGTGCTCTCGAGAGACGAACGCCCGTCAAGAAGCGACCCAGCCTCGAATCCAGGACGTTCGACTTCAAGCCTCACTTCCACAGGGCTTTCGTCTTGGCCGAAGAGATTGGGAGCGGCAGCTTCGGGAGGACCCACGTGGCCTTCGCCAGGAAGATGGGCGATCAGAACGGCAGGAAAGTGGCCGTGAAGATCATCCCGAAGCGACGCATGGCCAGCCAGGTCGAGATCGACGACGTCGTCCGAGAGGTCGACATCTTACGCATGCTGCAGCGCAACGAAAACGTGGTGGAGTTCATAGATGCATACGAGGACATCATGAATGTATACATAGTGATGGAGCTGTGCTGCGGTGGGGACCTCTCCGACCGCATCCTGGATGCCGGAGGCCGCTGCTCAGAAGCGAGCGCGGTGCCCATGGTCTGGCAGATCCTGAACTCGGTCGCATACATGCACGGCCGCGGTATCATCCATCGGGACATCAAGCCGGAGAACTTCCTCTTCGCCTCGGACGACAAGGACTCCCTCCTCAAGGCCATAGATTTTGGCCTCTCGGAGTACTATCGCGAGGGGGAGGTGCTCAACGACATCGTGGGCAGCCCCTACTTCGTCGCTCCCGAAGTACTAAAAAGGGCATACCATATGAAGGCGGATGAGTGGAGCATAGGGGTCATGACATACATCATCCTGGTGGGCACACGCCCTTTCTTCGGAAGCACTCAGTCGGAAGTGTTTCGATCGGTCCTGGAAGAGAAGCCGGACCTCGACGGCGTGAATCTGACGAGAGACGCCAGAGACTTCATCGAGAGGCTCCTGACCCGAGACGTAGACGGGCGGCTGACCGCCAGACAGGCACTCTCGCACCCGTGGATGCGTAGCCTCGACGACACGTCCGCTCAAACGGATGCTAAATAGGGTGCGCCTAGGCGCGAGCTGCGAATACTTCTCAATCGTCGAATCGAAGCCTGCAGACCTCTCTTCCTAGCGGCGTAAGCGACCAAGACCCTCTCGTAGGCGTGATGAACCCATTCACCTTCAGCCTATTAAACACACAACGGTGACCCCTGACGAAAATACTCTTCACGACGGGGTCGTCCGCCAGCTGGCGGCACGTGACGGTCGCAGCACCTTTTTTCTTGCCGATCCTCTTCCATATCCCGAGAAGCACGGTCTGCGCTTCCCCGCCTAGACGCGCTCGCCCTGCCCTGCTGCGCTCCGTGTAGCGATCGGAAGGTATGAATCCCTGTCGAAAGAGGGAAAGAACGTCTCAGCGGTCGCGCGAGAAAAATAGGTCGGCTCGATATGCAAATCTAACCGTAAAAGGTTCGTCTCGATATCTTTCGCGAGAACGACTCTACACCTACACCAGAGACGAAGAACGACCTTAGAACGTCACCATGACACCGGATCGAAGATGTGCGCACCTTTTTGGCATGGTACCGCCGAGAATCTCCGGCGTGCTCCGAGGACTCTTTCGCCGGCGCTCCAATTGAAGCGCTCCCCGCACGCTCCCCAACAGCGGGTGGATCCCGGCGCCGCTTGCTCAAGGCACGCAAGAAGGCCGCATGCCTGCCCTCCATATCGTTCTTGAACTCCAGGAGCCTGGTCTTGAACTCCACCAGATATCGGTACCTCCTCCTGTGGCCCTCGACGGACGTCGGCCCGGTCGCGACGTAGAGACCAAAGGCATCCTCAACGTCCAGCAGCCCCTCCTTGAGCTTCACGAAAGCTTCGGAGAGTCTCGTGGTATGGTCCACCAGGCTCTCCGTTGGGCAAGCCACCGCGAATCTGCGCAGGGCCGCTTCCAACTCCACCCACGGCGCACCACCGCTCCCGGACGAAAAGTGCATCAGAAGCCTATCTTTGAAATCTCGTTCCAAGTACCGGAATACGCTGGAGCACTCCTTGAGGGCGTCACGAGAGGCCATAAGGAAGTCCGCGCAATCTTTGGCGTGCCGCACGGTGACCTCCCAGTGCCGCATGTAAGGCTCCATCGCCGGCGCCCGGCGATCCCAAAGACGCTGCGGCCTCTCTGGACCCAGCGCAGCGGGAGCGCGAGCCGCTGCAAAGGATGGAAAGCCAGGCTGAAGTTCCCGGGGAGAAACCGCGCACCAGTTAACGAGCTGCTGGAACGGTAGTTGGAGCTGCTGGGATGGCGTTCACCAGTCCAAGCCGGCTTGAGAATACGGCAACCCCGTCGAAAATGTCAGCATTCGATGCCATCTACTCCGGAAGAGAGGGATGGGCGTGGTCACCGACCTGAAACCCTAAAAAGCCCTGAATGAAGTGCCTAGCTCGGCAACTCAAAAGAGCTCTTGATGCCCAAGGGGGCAAACATCTCTCATTGGATGCATGCCACCCGGTAGTTGCTACACAGTCAAATCAGAACGTGCCCACAACCGGAAGCGCACGTTCTACCTACTGACATAAATGAATCGTGCCGCCCCGTGCAATGCCTCACCTGCAATGAGCTAGGCAGCCGGACTCAGAACAGCGCTGATATGGAGAGGCAAGGTGTAAGGCTGTGGCAGGGATTGGCTGCTGCAATGGAATGCAGAAAGCTGCTGAGATGGTACGAAGGCAAGGGGTGAAGTTGCAGCTAAGAGTGGCCGCCGGAACGGCAGGCTGAAGCTGCTGAGTAGGATAGGCCAAAAAGGGAAAAAGACTGGGAATACAGGGGCAATGGCTGTGATGGCAACTTAGCTGGAGCGGAGGGAGGTAAGAAGCTATGCATCTGCATCAGCCTCCAACCTGTGATAAAAATGCCGAACGAGGAGTGTACACTGTACGGTTTAGTTCGCAGTAGATGCAGGAGTTGTAATCGATTAAGCGTCAAGTAATATCGACGGTGCATGCAGATTTACCAGCATTCGCGTGCGGGTAATCGACGGAACAGGCGGTTTCAAAGTAAGCACTCACGTGCGTCAAGTGAATATCGACGACGCACGTGAGTTTAATTGACGTTTTTACAAGTGGAATCGACGGCGTAGACAGTCGATGAAAAAAACGGTTATCCGGCTTATCTAGCCTTTAATTATCAAGTGGTGACTTCGGGTTATTTTTCTGCGCGGGCGCGTCGAAGATTTTCTCCGCAGCCAGCCGTACTCGAAGGACCTTAAGCCAGATCCACAGAGAGTTTCTGAAAGAACCTTTCCGTCCAGAGAAAGTTGCAAACTACGGTATTTGACCCGCGGACCACAAGTACAAGGCACGTGGCAGTTGTATCGAACTGCACTCTAGCCAGCTGAGCTAGCCGAGCGCAGAAAGACAACCCGGATCCGATCGGATTTTGTCGATTCAAGGCTGGCCAGGAGCCGCCTCCTCCGTGCTCCGGCGCCAAAGGCACCCGATGGACCCAAGGATGCGCGGAGGCTGTAGGCATTACCGTGAGGGCACCAAGGAATCGCAGCCAGATTGGGACTCTACATCGTACGCTCAATACTGCATCCACCCAGATTAGTGATCAAGGCTGCATGGGAGCTTCATTTTTCACATTTCCAGCTAGCTAGCTTTGTCGTTTAGAGCAGAACGCCCAGCGTCTTCCAGCGCTCTCACAGGCGCAGACTGCCAGCACTTACTCTAGCATTCAAGCAGAGTCCAGCTTTCTTCCGGCGCTCCACAGAGACTCGGAGGCATACTGCCAACCAGCTGGATTAGCCTCGAAGCGGAGGATCTCGTATCCACAGGGATCTGGGAGCAGGTAGCCAGCCAGCTAGACTCAGCGTTCAAGGATAAATCCAGCTGGTTCCAGCTCTCAACGATGGCTCCTAGCATGATCACATTCATTGGAGCAAGAAATCCAGCTTATTGGTTCCAGCCTGGCTCCAAACTCTCTTCTCGCTTCTGGAGAATTGCTTGCTCCGCACTAGGTCTGGCCAAGGTAAAGGTTTCAAGAGGCAATAGCGAGCTCCTGTCAAAGAAGCTCTCCGTCGAGGGAAGGGCCATCGATGAGTATCACGGCAAGTACGTCTTCGTCGTATCAGCACATCTCGGGGGCGCCACCATCCACCATCTGCCATTACCGGACGACGAAGAGGAGCGAACGTACGCCGGCAAATTCAACGTACCATCCGATGTGCTGCTGTGTGACG